CATTTTTTGAGAAGCACCTCAAGTTACAATCACATCCGTTTCTGACAACATAATTTTCAATAAAAATAAACAACACAAAACTGTCACCACAGTGCTTAGGGGGTAGTTTTCAGGAGCTATGGGTATTTATATTCCCTACAAAAAATGCGGGGAACCAGTTGGAGCTACGAATTGAGTTTCCTGTCCCCACGTGATAGTGCATGATTTTCCCAACGATCAACCTCCATTGAACAAATGGCATTTTCCATTGATGGAGGTTTCCTAAGTCATGGCGGTATTGAAACCACCATGGTGACGACTGAGGATCCCCCATGACTTAAGAACACCCCTTTATATGCCCAGAAAAACACATCCATTTGATATATGGTTTATCCCGTTATAATCCCTAATCCCACATGAGAAACCAATGTTTCATAGTTATGTAACAAATTGATTTCGATTTACAGTTTCAGCATGTTTCAGCAATCACTACTAGTAAGAGAAAAATCCTAAATATGGTTGGTTGTCTATACATCAAAATATAGTTATATGTATGTAAATACGATGCCCAGGTTCGGGTTGTTGATGGATTACCAAGGGATGATATCTTTGATCAATATCCCATTTTATTCCATTGTTTCTCAATGGATATATGATAGATCTTTAAATTTTGCATATAATCGGATATGATGGGATATCATTGGTATATATCAATATTTCATGGGATAAATCTCAACGTAAATGATTGAAATACTGTGGGTGGTTGCGAATTCCGAATCACCAGCTAACGATTGTGGCTTGTGACATACTGCTGTATGGGATTATAACATATTATAACGGGATAAACAATCTACCACCTGCAGGATTTCTTCCATCCACAGTATGTTAGTTGGTGATGGCTGGTTCCGCAGGTTGGTCGAGGAGCTGCACAGCAACCAAGTGCCGCCGCCTGTGGCGGCTTGGAAAGCTCTCAGTAAGACGGCTATGGCGCGGTTTTTTCCGTGGGAAGTGGATCAATGGGGCCGGATGCCACTGGGAAATATCATGGACATGGGAACAGGATCGAAGTTGGGACAGTCGGGAGATTTTGCCAGGCATTCTTGATGACCAGAGGCTAGGCAGGATGTAATTAAGCATCAAACAAATGGATTGAAGCAATATTATATATATATATGTAATTGACATTGAATTTTGCAGGTTTGCAGTTGGCCAGTGGGTAGCAATATAATCTTACAACTTATAACCCACTTGTATAATCTACTTGTATATGAAATATCCCAGTAGTACCCGCACGAGGCGGGGCGGAAGTTGCCTTAAAGATATAAGACCTTTCTCATCTATAGAACTTGCATGCGCCGTGCGCCAGCCAAGCCCGTGCGTGCGTGCACTCTGCGAAAGTTGTGTCCTGCTTCACATGTCACATGTGAAGCTCCACTTCCCACTTCACACTTCACACTGCATTCTTCGCACTCCACACTTCACACTTCACACTGCACTCTTCGCACTCCAAACTTCACACTCCACACTTCACACTTCTCACTTCTCACTCCACACTTCACACTCCACACTTTACACTCCACGCTTCACACTTCTAACTGCTTTCTTCAGACTCCACACTTCATACTTCACACTTTACACGTCACAGTCCACACTTCACACTTCTCATTGCTTTCTTCACACCCCCCACACTTCTTCACTCCACAGAGAAGCTTTTACACACAGCAAGCTTTCACACACAGCAAGCATTTACACACAGAACACTTACACACAGTGCTTTTTACACATGGCAAGCGCTTACACACACACAGAAACTTTTACACAGAGAAGCTTTTACACACAGCAAACTTTTACACACAAAACTTTTACACACAGCAAGCTTTCACACACAGCAAGCGTTTACACACAGTACTTGCACACAGTGCTTTTACACATGGCAAGCGCTTACACACAGAACACTTACACAGAATGCTTTTACACATGGCAAGCGTTTACACACACACACAAAAAACACTTTTACACAGAGACACTTTTAACACATGCACAGATAAGCTTTTACACACAGCAAACTTTTACACGCAACATCTTTTACACACAGCAAGCTTTCACACACAGCAAGCGTTTAGACACAGAACACTTACACACACAGTACTTGCACACAGTGCTTTTACACATGGCAAGCGTTTACACACAAACTTTTCCACACAGGAAAGCAGCTCCAAAACCGGATCTCGACGCCAAAGCAGAAAAAAGACGATTTTGAAGCACTTTTTAAAAGGGATTTTAAAAGAGATTTTAAGAGGAAAATTACTAGCGCCAAAATTGCGAAAATCTGCTGACAAATCACTATCGCAGCCTGGATGCAGCCACTCCAATACGATTTACAATCTTCAGCTGCAAAAGACAATAGTATTACGCATGCCTCCGGCGTCAAGCAAACCTTGAGGCAGCCACTCCAATGCGATCTGCAGAGACTGAGTTGCCAATCACAATAAACTAAGCGCAACGCGTCGGAAATTGCAGCTCCAAAACCGGATCTCGACGCCAAAGCAGAAAAAAGACGATTTTGAAGCACTTTTTAAAAGGGATTTTAAAAGAGATTTTAAGAGGAAAATTACTAGCGCCAAAATTGCGAAAATCTGCTGACAAATCACTATCGCAGCCTGGATGCAGCCACTCCAATACGATTTACAATCTTCAGCTGCAAAAGACAATAGTATTACGCATGCAGCCGCGGCACCAAGCAACTTTGACGCAGCCATTACCATGCGTATTTGCAACCGGAGATTCCAAAACACCCTATAACTACGCACACACAAGCAGACCCAAAGCAGCTTCAAGCCACCATTACACTGCGGCAAGAAAAAAAAAGGCAAACCGACCGCAGCCGCAACCGCCGCACAGACGAGGTACCTTTCATCGCCGGCTGCAGCCACTTTGCACGGAAAAACACAAGGTTTCGTGCTCCGGCTTCCTCCCGAAAACAGAGCCCATGCAACATCATGCAGCCATTACAATGCGATCTGCAACCAGAGATTCCAAAACACCCTATAACGACGCACACACAAGCAGACCCAAAGCAGCTTCAAGCCACCAGTACACTGCGGCAAGAAAAAAGGCAAACCGACCGCAGCCGCAACCGCCGCACAGACGAGGTACCTTTCATCGCCGGCTGCAGCCACTTTACACGGAAAAACACAAGGTTTCGTGCTCCGGCTTCCTCCCCAAAACATAGCCCATGCAACATCATGCAGCCATTCCAATGGGATCTGCAACCACAGATTCCAAAACACCCTATAACTACGCACACACAAGCACACCCAAAGCAGCTTGAAGCCACCGTGACACTGCGGCAAAAAAAAAAACGATAAACCGACCGCAGCCGCAACCGTGGCACACACGAGGTACCTTTCATCGTCGCCTGCAGCCACTTTACACGGAAAAACACAAGGTTTCGTGCTCCGGCTTCCTCCCCAAAACATAGCCCATGCAACATCATGCAGCCATTCCAATGGGATCTGCAACCACAGATTCCAAAACACCCTATAACTACGCACACACAAGCACACCCAAAGCAGCTTGAAGCCACCGTTACACTGCGGCAAAAAAAAAACGACCAACCGACCGCAGCCGCACCCGCCGCACAGACGAGGTACCTTTCATCGTCGCCTGCAGCCACTTTACACGGAAAAACATAAGGTTTCGTGCTCCGGCTTCCTCCCCACAACAGAGCCCTTGCAACATCATGCAGCCATTCCAATGCGATCTGCAAGCACAGATTCCAAAACACCCTATAACTACGCACACACAAGCACACCCAAAGCAGCTTGAAGCCACCGTTACAATGCGGCAAAAAAAAAGGCAAACCGACCGCAGCCGCACCCGCCGCACAGACGATGTACCTTTCCTCGCCGGCTGCAGCCACTTTACACGGAAAAACACAAGGTTTCGTGCTCCGGCTTCCTCCCCAAAACATAGCCCATGCAACATTCATGCAGCCATTACAATGCGATCTGCAACCACCCTTCAAGGTCAAGTCTCAATCGCACACCACCCTTCAAGTCAAGTCTCAATCGCGCAGCACCCTTCAAGATCAAGTCTCAATCCGATCTGCAACGACCCTTCATCAAGGTCATGTGAAGTCTCACACCACCCTTCAAGGTCAAGTCTCAATCGCACACCACCCTTCAAGATCAAGTCTCAATCGCGCACCACCCTTCAAGGTCAAGTCTCAATCGCACACCACCCTTCAAGATCAAGTCTCAATCGCGCACCACCCTTCAAGGTCAAGTCTCAATCGCACACCACCCTTCACACCACCCTTCAAGGTCAAGTGTCAATCGCGCACCACCCTTTTCTCAATCGCGCACCACCCTTCAAGGTCAAGTCTCAATCGCAATCGCGCACCACCCTTCAAGGTCAAGTTTCAATCGCACACCACCCTTCACACCACCCTTCACACCACCCTTCAAGGTCAAGTGTCAATCGCGCACCACCCTTCAAGGTCAAGTCTCAATCGCACACCACCCTTCAAGGTCAAGTGTCAATCGCGCACCACCCTTCATCATTTCAAGACTCAGAATTCTATTTGTCCGTACCTCGGAAGTATTGCTTCCCAACTTCCTTTGACCAGTTTGTTTTCATTGGGTTTTCACCACTTACGAATAAGTTGTAAAAACTATAGGTGTTAGCGATTTCGCAATGTGACAATGAGAACACATTCTGGTTGTTGGCGAATTATTCTGATACCAAACAATGTTTGGATCTAACTTGCAAACATTGGATTTCAGTCAGATTGCATCGACATGACGCGACGAACTCCAATTGGGGATTAGCTGAGATATAACCAGCAAACGTGGTGCAAGAATGTGAGTCGGAGCAACAGAAATGGTTTCAAAAACCTCCAGAAGAAAAAAGACAATCACTTTGCCAATATTTTTTTTGAAATCTCTTCAAACAAAAATCCTCATGACTGGATTTCATCAACATTGTGGATCCGTAGACTTGGATTTTCGAGTTCATCAGCTCAGTGGGAAGAGAAAAATATCGGGCTTAAACTTGGTGGATAAGTTGCGAATCACTTTTGTTGATTGCCAAACCAACATACCCTCTGGTAAACGTTTACAAAAAACTATGGAAAATCACCATTTTTAATGGGAAAACTCACTATAAATTGCAATTTTCAATAGCAAACTGTTAGTTTACCAGAGGGTACGCTTTAGAAAAAAAGGTGTAAGTAATTACTCTTTTCGAATCTAAACTCAGACGTGGTTTAACAATACCAGTGTCAAAGTGTTTTTTTAATATCCATTTTAGCTGCTTTTACTATATGTTTCTTATCCTCCTCAGCTGGTGTTTCTTCTCCCCATTTTGTCCGTTTCACTCCAACCGTAGGGAAATTACAATCCATTCGATCCCATGAGTAATTTTCCTAGAAATAGTTGCGTCCTGGTATGTTTCCTGAAAAATGTGTCACGCATAGACATTTGGCATTTGGTTGGTGGTTTCAAACATTATTGATTTTCCATAATATATGGGAGAATCCTTCCCATTGACAACTATTTTTCAAGATGGTTAAAACCACCAACCAGACATTCATAACACATAGCCACAAATGGGAAAGTTGCGATTCAGGTCTAATCAGATGGTTTGGACCATGGTATGCGTACAGGGATTGTTTTTCTTGGAAGGGAAAGAAACTCTGCACAGTTCAGATCTAATTAATCTAATTAGTAGACATTGGTGTTTTCCCTAGGCCTTCTGTTTATGATTCGTTTTGTTCCTCCATTTCATTGATTTTCGCATGATCTGCCAGGAGAAGGCAGGAATGAGTTCAAACGTCATCATGGAGAAGCAGCACCTGTGGCTGCTAAAAATGGTCAAAATGAGTGTAGCGTAGCCCGAAATGGGCCAACATCTTACATTGAATTGGGGAAGTGTACATCGTTTTTAAATGTTTTTTGTTTTTACATGTTTAACATTATATATATATATACATGTATTATTTATACAGCATTATATATATATATACTGGTACATGTGTCGAAACTCCCAAGTTCATTAGTTGTGACTAAAAATGGGTATGGTGTGTGAGCTCAACACTCTTCCATCTTCTCATGGAACTTTGGTCACACTGTACACCAATGAAATGTTTTGTGCATCCAATATTTTGAGCTAAGCAGCTATGCACCGTGTTCACCCAATTTTTTCGTGTACCCATTTTGATTTAAACCATATAATGTCATACAATCATAGCCAACTTTGACTGTTCAGACATGAAACTGTGCATCTCCTGGGGGTCCATTTTGCAAGCATAGATTCAAATATGACTTGATATGGTTATTGCCCATTTGCATTAATGTGTAATAAATATAGAGTTATCTATGGACACATACATTTATTATTGATAGAGTATTATGAATACTATCTATGTATCATACCGTATAAGCAGATACAATTCTCAGATTACCTATGATTATCTATGATTATCCATGCTTATCCATGCTCATCCATGATTTTCCATGATTATCTATGACTGCCTATGATTATCTATGACTACCTATGATTATCAATCCAGGAGTATCCATCATTATCCATGATTTCCTTGATTACCCATGATTATCCTTGACCATTCATGATTATCTTTGACTATCTAGGACTAGTTTTGATTATCTACGATTTTCTTTTTTTCTTGGATTATCCATGACTATTCATGATTAACTTTGACTATCTAGGACTAGTTTTGATTTTCTACGATTTTCTTTCTTTTTTCATGGGTTATCCATGACTATTCATGATTATCTTTGACTATCTAGGACTAGTTTTGATTGTCTACGATTTTCTTTCTTTTTTCTTGGATTATCCATGACTATTCATGATTATCTTTGACTATCTAGGACTAGTTTTGATTATCTACGATTTTCTTTCTTTTTTCATGGATTATCCATGGCTATTCATGATTATCTTTGACTATCTAGGACTAGTTTTGATTATCTACGATTTTCTTTCTTTTTTCATGGGTTATCCATGACTATTCATGATTATCTTTGACTATCTAGGACTAGTTTTTTGATTATCTACGATTTTCTTTCTTTTTTCATGGATTATCCATGACTATTCATGATTATCTTTGACTATCTAGGACTAGTTTTGATTATCTACGATTTTCTTTTTTCATGGATTATCCATGACTATTCATGATTATCTTTGACTATCTAGGACTAGTTTTGATTATCTACGATTTTCTTTCTTTTTTCATGGATTATCCATGACTATTCATGATTATCTTTGACTATCTAGGACTAGTTTTGATTATCTACGATTTTCTTTCTTTTTTCATGGATTATCCATGACTATTCATGATTATCTTTGACTATCTAGGACTAGTTTTGATTATCTACGATTTTCTTTCTTTTTTCATGGATTATCCATGACTATTCATGATGATCTTTGACTATCTAGGACTAGTTTTGATTATCTACGATTTTCTTTCTTTTTTCATGGATTATCCATGACTATTCATGATTATCTTTGACTATCTAGGACTAGTTTTGATTATCTACGATTTTCTTTCTTTTTTCATGGATTATCCATGGCTATTCATGATTATCTTTGACTATCTAGGACTAGTTTTGATTATCTACGATTTTCTTTCTTTTTTCATGGGTTATCCATGGCTATTCATGATTATCTTTGACTATCTAAGACTAGTTTTGATTATCTACGATTTTCTTTCTTTTTTCATGGATTATCCATGACTATTCATGATTATCTTTGACTATCTAGGACTAGTTTTGACTATCTAAAGTCTTCCCTAATTATCCTTGATTATCCATGACCATCCATGGTTATCTTTGACCATCTATGACTAGCTTTGACCATTTATTTTTTCCTTGATTATCCTTGATTATCTATGACCATCCATGATTATCTTTGACTATCTGTCACTAGTCTTGACTATCTAAGATCTTCCTTATTTATCCTTGATTATCCACGGCCATCCATGGTTATCTTTGACAATCTGACTATCTAAGATTCTTTGACCATCTAAGAGTTTCCTTGATTATCCATGTTTTCCATGACTATCCATGATTATCCAGTATTTTTGCTATAAATGTTGCAGGATCCCATCGCCGAGGGTCATGGCCGTTACAAAGTTATGCCCATCGCCTTTCATCGTCCCTCGGAGACTTGCTAAAGGTGTGACGCGTTGTGTGACCAGGTGCTGAAGGAATGGTTAATAAACGCTAATCATGTTTATCTGGTTGGTGGTTTGGAATTTTCCATATATTGGGAATAAGAGTCCCAACTGACTAATATTTTTCAAGATGGTTAAAACCACCAACCAGTTAATCAAGTATAATAAAGTTTATGGTTATTAAGAACTGTTAGTACTGGTTCATAATGGTTCATTCAATTGGTATTGTTCATGAGCAAGAACTTTTGCAATGGGCCAACGGTTTTGCTCACACTTTGAAGCTAAGCAACCCCAAGAATATGCATTCTATGAATAGAGAAAAAGAAAAAAAACAACAAAAATGCAGCATCAATCCACCAATCCTAGTGACTTACCATGCGAGGGATGTTAGTGATTTTATTTGTATATATAATTAATATAATCTACACAACAGTTATCGCACAGAGGCACCCTTTGTGGTTTTTAATGAGGGATTTACCAAGTCCATCTCTGAAACAAAAAGTTTGATCGCCCCATTGCATCAGCGTTTCGCCTGAGAGTATCGCCCCGAGAAGCGGCGACGTCGTAAGTAACTCTACGTGAGATCTGCCAAGCTTTCGTTGTATATTGATGGTTTTTATAGTGGTTAAAGATGGTATAAACCAAGAACAATGGGAATATGATGGTTAGATATCTGATTGGTGGTGACTGGAACATGACTGGATTATGACTTTCCATTCAGTTGGGAATGTCATCATCCCAACTGTTACTCACTCCATCATTTTTCAGAGGGGTTGTTTTACCACCAACCAGAGAGAGATATATATATATATATCTTAACCATCATTAACCATATAATCACCATCATCGTTAACCATCATTAATCATATAATCAGCATCATCATCATCGTTAACCATATATTATATAACCATATATTAACCATATATATTTACCACCAACCAGTGTACTTCGGCAAGGGAAATATCAGTTGAGTCCTTCCATTGTTTTGTGCCTGGTGAAGCCGGTGAAGCCAGCAAGAATCCTTGGGAAGTCCATTTCTCCATCCGGTGGTGGTTAGTCAGAATGGTTTAGTCAGGGAACGGGTCAAAACCTATGAATTTCTATATGAATTTACCAGAAATGACTAGGGGAATAAACATGAATAAACATCCACACGTTCCAGGAGTCCCAGCTATGGCTTTGACAAAATATAACCATATATCTATGCCCATGATATGTTCGAAGAATGGGACATTTCACCGTAGAACTTCGATTCCCTGAGGCTAAATCAGAAGCCGTCGGCCCGCCCCTGCGACGGCACCAGGTGTCTTACCATGGATGTTGCCAAACGCCCAGATATATCTACTTCAAGCGTCTCGGAATGTCTCGGATGGTGAAGTAAGCATGATCAAGATCTCAATCATCTTTTTTGGATATTTGTGGATATTTTTGGATAGTTTGTTCTCCGGGTCAGACCCATGTCTCTGGCCGCATTGACATCAACGATGCCAGACTGCCTTCAGGATGGAAGCTTTGCTGGGAGGTGAACTGTATCGAACCTACGTCAAGAACAAGCACATTCTTTCTGGGAGTAAGGAGCGCATGACATTGTCGAAAACAGTTATAGCATGTTATAGCTCTTATATATAACACTTATAACTTGCTTGTACTGACATGTACATACATATATATATATCCTGTTACAGGTACAGGAGTTAAAGTCTCGTTTATAATTTATAACTGTTAGTTGGGCCATAAGTGAAGCGTCACGTTTTCGGCTGATTCAGCTGTTGTTGCGGTGCTTTTTTAATCGTGCCATGATTTTTGGGATGTCAAGCCACAGTGTTGGTCTCCAGTACCAATTGCTTGAAATGAAATTCTAAACTCCTCCGAAACAGGGTTCAACCGAGAAACGTTACCCTTTTATGGGATTGGTGGCCCCATTTATTGTAGCCATACCTGGTTGACCTGTTGATTTTCCAGGTAGGTTCAACTTCCAAGTTTGGGTTGGTCGTACCGTTATATATACCCACTATAATCTGTCAATTGATGAATGGGTTCTTCAACCATAGGAGCTGATTAGCTGGTTCTTCCGCCGATGGTGGTTGGTAACCAAATAAGGCATAAGGGCCACGATATTCTCTAACCAGTTCACCAAGTATATGTTCACTATCTCCCATTACATGTAATCATTTACTACTTATACTTAGCCATTTTGGAACAGGCCAGCTGAACCGGTCTACGCTTTGCACGAGCAAACTAAGAACCAATGTTGACTTCACATCAACCGTTGGTTAAGTAATTTTTGGTTAATATTCTGATAGGATCTGATAAGTAATTTGTTTGGCTTTGTCTGAGAATGGGAAGCCTTATGTAATTTTATGATCAGCAAATTTCGTCCATTCACAAGCTAAAAAATGATACTTTTTGGATCTGTTTGGGAGGAATCTAAGATTCACGATGTTAAAACCTCATTTTTCCCATGGCAGTGTTAGACGCAACGCCCACCATTGGCCTCACAGTTTACAAGGGCTGGGGTGCGGCAGGGTGGGGATTGTAGCGTTCCTTCGACCGCGTTCCTGCGACCTTGCACAAGATGTTGATGCTACGCTCACATGGAGTGGGGGGGATGTTAACGTTCCTTCCACCGCGTTCCCTCGACCTTGTACAAGATTATGATGCTACTCTCACATGGGTTGGGGTGGGGGGGGTATGTTAACGTTCCTTCGACCGCGTTCCCTCGACCTTGCACAAGATGTTGATGCTAGCTCACATGGGTGGGGTGGGGTGGGGTGGGGTGGGGTGGGTATGTTAACGTTCCATCGACCCCGTTCCCTCGACCTTGCACAAGATGTCGATGCTACGCTCACATGGAATGGGGTGGGTTAGGTATGTTAACGTTCCTTCGACCCCGTTCCCTCGACCTTGCACAAGATGTCGATGCTACGCTCACATGGAATGGGGTGGGGTAGGTATGTTAACGTTCCTTCGACCGCGTTCCCTCGACCTTGCACAAGATGTTGATGCTCTGCTCACATGGGCTGGGGTGGGGTCGGGATGTTACTTAGGTGCTCTTTGGAAGTTGTGGCAGTTATAACGTAAGTTATCAGTAAGTTTTGCAAGTTATGAAAGGTATACTTTTTGAACTTATTTTGAAGTTACGTTTTTGGAATTTTCACTCTTCAAATTAAAACAGTCTGCAAACTTGATTAAAAGCGGATCATCCGCTCCAAAAGAACATGTTCGAAGCTCACAGGCAAATCATTTGGAGCCTCATACCAAATGGCTTTGTAAACCATGGCTTCTAAATCACTTTGTTTTGAGCTGTTGCCAAATCCTGCAAAAAGTACAGAATGACAAAGATGATGATAGACCACAAGTTGGTATACGATTGGTATACGGCCTCTCCTGGCGATCACCTGTGCTCGGTATACGCTTGGTATACGGGATTTTTTCCTTTTGGTATACGGTTGGTTTACGGGGCTGTCCTTTTTGGTATACGTGTTGTCTTCTTTACATACAGCATGGTATACGGGCTCTCTCTGGTTCGGTATACGCGCGGTATACGCTGGTATACGGTGTTCCTGTCTTTCCGGTATACGGAAAGTATACGCTGGTATACGGTGATCCCCTGTTACACGTGTAGGTTTGACATGAAAAACAGATAACATTCAAACGCTTCTGCTGTTAACATCGCCGGACATGTGAAAAAAACAAACGAAGTTTAGCGGAGGACCCGCTCCAATTCAAATGCAGCGGTTGGCCCGCTCCAAAGAAAAGCGCAACAGTCCTCAACCACTTTTTAGCGGAAGACCCGCTCCAAATTGACGGGTAGCAACAAGTGGGACAAAAAACAGCCAAAAAGAAGTTATGAATTCTAGTTTTTTTAGAAAAAAGTGAAGTTACAAAAAAGAAGTATAACTAAGTTAGTAACATCAAGTTACAAAGTTAACTTATAACTGCCATAACATACGTTATAACCTATGTTATAGAGCTTATTATATATGTTGTAACTCACGTTGTAACTGCCACAACTTCCAAGGCACACCTAAGTAATGTTCTTTTGACCGCGTTCCCTCGACCTTGCGCAAGATGTTGATGCTAGGCTCACACGGGGTGGCACATGATGGGTTTGCGTCTAGATAGGCATAAACATAAATCCAACTACATCGATATACTTAGCCCAGCAACATCCAGAAACCAGCCCGGGTCATTGTTCAACGAGTCGTTGGCGCCAGGTCTTTGCGCGCTACTACCTCGCTTGTGCGCTGACAGCAGTTGAGCATCTGCACCAGCTGCGGGTGATGCTGCGATCTTTGAAGCCGGAGGCACAGCTGGGCATGGAATTGATGCTTTGGGGCCACATATCCATATATATATATACACACTGGATTTCATGTAATTTTGATATATATATATATATACATGTATATATGTATATACATGTATATATAATGTGATACTATGTGATATTTTTGTTTTTCACACCTGCAATTTTACCAATTATGTGTATATATATATATGTATGTGTAGATATATTGTATCATACTATGTACATGGTGTATAATGGTGTGTATATTGAAGGTATGTATATATATATATACACATGTATACACAAATGCATTTGTTTAATCAAGACAGGATGCCCCATATAATCATGGTGAATAATTCTAGTTTCTAACTGGATTATAAAATGGCAATGGAACGTGAATAATACACCTTGGACGCTGTTTCGTGGTTGGTTATAGAGAAACATTGGCGGGCTGCGGGTGTAGAGAAATATGTGTTGTTGTTGTTGTCGTTGTCGTTGTCGTTGTGGTTGTGGTTGTGGTTGTTGTTGTTGTTGTTGTTGTTGTTGTTGTTGTTGTTGTTGTTGTTGTTGTTGTTGTTGTTGTTGTTGTTGTTGTTGTTGTATGTTGTTGGTGTTGGTGTTGTTGGTTGTTGTTGGCTGTTGTTGGTCGTTGTTTGTCGTTGTTTGTTGTTCTTTGTCGTTGTTTGTTGTTCTTTGTTGTTTGTTGTTTGTTTGTTGTTTGTTGTTTGTTTGTTGTTGCTGTTGTTGCTGTTGTTGCCATTGTTGCTGTTGTTGCTGTCGATGCTGTTGTTGCTGCTGGTGCTGTTGTTGCTGTTGTTGCTGTTGTTGCTTTGGTTGCTGTTGTTGCTGTTGTTGTTGTTCTTCTTGTTGTTGTTGGTGATGGTGGTGGCGGCATTCTCGGAGCACTTTTGGAAGATGAGGTCGGCACAATGTGCACGAGACTGTAGCGAGAGCTTGATTTCACATTGATCGTAAAAGACTGAGGGCTTCCGAGTTTCTTTAAATGATTTTATGTGAAACCAAGCTCTCGCTACAGTCTCGTGCCCATTTTGCCCACCTGATCTTCCGAAAGTGCTAAAGTTGGCAAATCTCATTCATTCAATCACTCATTCATCCATCTATTCATTCATTCATTCATTCACTCATTCATTCATGCATTCATTCATTCCATTTCGCTTTCTATCATGTTAATCTTTTTCTTTTCATTCAATGTCATTTCTGTTAATTCCAGTTCATTTCATTTAATTGGATTTCATTTCATCTCGTTTCGTCCCGTTCTTTCATCCAATCATTCAATCGGTTCATTCCTTCATTCCTTTATTCATTCGTTCGTTCGTTCATTCATGCATTCACTCATGTATTTCGTGAATTAGATTAATTCATTCAATTCATGGATTCATTCATTCATTCATTCATTCATTCATTCATTCATGCATCTTTTATTCATTCATTCATTCATTCATTCATTCATCCATCCATCCATCCATTCATTCATTCATTCATTCATTCATGCATCTTTTATTCATTCATTCATTCATCCATCCGTTCATTCATTCATTCATTCATTCATGCATTCATTCATTCATGCATCTTTTATTCATTCATTCATTCATTCATCCATCCGTTCATTCATTCATTCATTCATTCATGCATTCATTCATTCATTCTTGCATTCATGCATTTATGCATTCATTCATTCATTCATTCATTCCTTCCCTCCTTCATTGATTCATTGATTCATTGATTCATTGCTTCATTGCTTCATTGCTTCATTGATTCATTCATTCATTCGTTCATTCATTCTTTCATTCATTCAATCATTCCGGTCATGTCATGCCATGTCATGCCATGTCATGTCATGTCATGTCATGTCATTCATTGCATTTCATTGCATTTTAATCGTTTTTATTGCAGGTTCATTTCAATTCACTCCGTATCGTTTCATGTCATTTCTTGTCATGTCATTTCATTTTTTTATTCATTTCAGTCATTTCATTTCATTTCATTTCTTGTCATGTCATTTCATTCATTTCATTCATTTCATTTTATGTCGTTTCGTTTCGGTCCAATTCATTTCATTCATGTTATTTCATGTCAATTCACTTCTTTCCAACTCAGCAACAATTCCTATAAGCAAACTGGTTCCTACAGCCATATCCTACTTTCGAAACTTCCGCCCCGGCGCGTGATACAAACTGGTCTATTGGGGGTTGTTGTAAACCATAGTAGTATGTCTTAACCAACCAGTAAAGTGGTAACGGATAGATGTATTCTGTATGGTTCACATGATATGAGCCAATACTATTGTGTATATCAACAGCGATTGGATCTTGATTTGAGTACGTACAGCCACATGTGATCTCCCATCACTGCGAGGCTAAGTAAGGTTCCGGGTTTTTGCATACAAAAACCTCTCTGATGCCACCATGGTGTGGGAAAGTAGTTGCTTTAACTAATTCATTACAGCATATCCTCTGGTTATCAAACGTGGCAGTGGGAAATCCACTACAAATGGAGGTTTATAGCTGGGAAAATCATCTATAAATGGAGGATTGCCCATTGCCACCTTTGATTGCCAGAGGTAACAGCATACATGTTTCTTGCAAATCGGTGGTTTAAGTTTCAGTTGTTTGGAGTGGGTACATGGGTGACAGCTAGGTGACACGCGGATGTTCGTTCAGTTAGTTTGTCCGAAACAGAGGTAAAACAATGATCTCTTCAGCAGTCACCTGGTAACCCCAAAACACCAACCGGATCATCATCTCACTTTTCACCAGCCTGGATCCCATCCCCGCGGTTTCAAGTCCCAAGGCTCCCAAGTTCCCATCCCAGGACTGCGCTTTGGATCTCAAAGGCCAACTGAAAATTTTCGATTTTGGTTTGTCCAAGTCTTTTGGACCGCCATGCCGAGTCGCCGAGCCGGTACTGTTGCGGGGGCTATAGAAACCTCGTTGGCTTTATGTGGAAATTATCTATTTATTTATATATAGATCTATATTCTATAGTATACACATACTGTACTCACTGGTTAGTAAATATGCCTACATATATATGTTTTTTTATTTATTTATCTATAGTCTCTATTTGGTGATGATTAGTGATGATTATGATCCAGTAGGAAGAATATTTAAGAATCAACCAGTAGAATGGGATGTGGTAGGGGATTTGTTCATGGTTCAGCTTGTTAAATATCATGAAACACGCCTTGATTTAGCATCCATTTATACAAGTTTTTTTTCTCGGAGTGTTCTCTATTGAATAAACTAATGGATTTCCCAGCCATGATTACCAGAGGGCTTAGGTCCTTTAGACGTGGGGATGTTGACAATCAGCTGCTGACTGGAATCATTTCAAGACTCCGGTTCTGACTTGTTTTCATGTTTTTATGGCGGAATTTTATAGATTCCCATAGATGTCATAAATCATCATGTCATATGCTGGATAAGTAATATTTCTCTCAGATCATCATTGAATCATACGTTGTCCTTACCGTAGGTGAAACAGGTCACTCTTTTGAGAAAGGGATGGGAAACAGCAGGAAAAACTGTATATGTCAAGTGCTAATCGGTAGTAAACATATAGTTTCAACCATAAATGTTCCCTAAATCAATTGAATCCCAATTTATGTCCCCATAGTTGCTATAGCACAAGCCATTTTTCGTCTTCCCAAGACTTTGCCCAGGTTCATTGTGGATAAGACTTACACCACCTGTGGAACACCAGACTATTTCAGCCCAGAGGCCGGCGAATGGCGAAGCCCCATTTCTGGACATGGTGGAAATGGTGAGATGTGAAGATGGCGTGGTATAGTAAGCAAAAATCCAGAAAGGGCTCAATGTATCACTATTAAGATTATTAAGCAGGATGTTATTTGCGGTTTGCTATACTTATAGATTATGGGTTGGTGTTTTCATGGTCTCACAGATTTGTTTAGCCATGTTTAATGGGGATCAGTTTATTGCGATCAATGGCAGATATAAAATCATATAAACTAACATGTTTCGAAGTCGCTATGGGAAAATATCATATCCATGATAAACTATATCATAAGATCAAATATTTCGCAATGCCGCAACATATTTCAGTCAATAATAATATGTTAATCCAATTTGAATATTTCCTATATAATATATATATATATATATATGGGGGTCTCTTAAAATGGGGGTTCCCCAAAATCATCGGGTTCTATACTTAAATTGTCTAATTTTGGATGATTTGGGTGTACCCCTTCTTAGGAAACCCTCATATATATTTAATACTGAATATTGATATTAGAATCCAATTGCAGGTCATTTGGGACATGTCCCCATAAATATTGATATTCGATTTCAATGGTTAGTTGTATATATATATATTTACATATATGGTCAATATTCATGGTATATTGATATATTGATATAACATATATAAATAATGAATATATATATATTATATTAATCTAACCATATCTCACCATATCTCACCATGGTGTAGATTGATATTCGAATCCAATGCTTGGCGAATTCCATGGGAACCGCAGATCATCTCCTCGACGGGCCACTCCTTCCCCATTGACTGGCGACCTTGGCGGCGTTTTTACATCGGCGATGTGGCGATGTTCGCGGGTGTAATGGTGGGTAATGATGAGTAATAATGGTTATAAAAATGATTAATAAAGGTTGATAGTGGTTAGTAATGGCTAATAATGGTTAATAATGTTTAATAATGGCTAATAATGTTTAATAATCGTTAATAAAGGTTAGTAATGGTTAATATCGGTTAATAATGGTGAATAATTATGAATAATTGGATTAGGTAAATTATAATGATAAGTGGGATACCATCAATATATGATATATCCTATACTAATACTCATACTCATACTCATACTCATACTTATACTTATACTCATACCCATACTCATACGCCATACCAATACTAATTCTAATACAAATACTAATGCTAATGCTAATACTATAGGAACATGATAGTGGGATGATAAGTGGGATCATAATATAGGAATAATAATGTGGGTAAAACAGTGCCATAAACCCCCCATGACTGGGAGTGGTTTATACCACCTATGAAAATGGTGTTGACTGGGGGATGGTTGATGGCATTGTTTTACCCACATTACCCAAGAACGCTGAGTAAACTCGCATAGCCTATGGAATATGAATGGATCTGACCCATTTAGTTCGATGATTTACCTACTACGAATGCTGATTTCCATAACTATTCTTAGTTTAGGATATGTATAGCAACCCAACAAACATCTGCCGACCAAACAGTGTGCAACCAGGATGGCAGTTCCATGCTGTTTTCCCGACCTCGCTGGTTGACATCTTGGGATCGAAAAAACGGCTGTGTTTTCAGGCAGATGAAACGATCGTTTTCACTGTGATATCCAGTGACCGTCATTAAAAGTTAGGCCCAGCCATTCATTATATATATATGTTTATTATATATTCCTAAGTGCTGTGCCATGACTGTATATCACATATATATAAATATATTTCCACGTATGAATCATTTTGTATGTTTCCCCCAGAACTTCTGTCTTTCTGCCCAGAGCTTCACCTGGAGCTTCCTGGGATTTTGATCACCGAGATGTCCAAGGTGGTGCGCTGGGGTCATGTTGTTCGAGCTCTTGAGCGGAGACCCTCCCTTTGCCTCTCGGAGCTCGCGGGAACTGGAGAGAATCTCCATCTGAAAATAAGGTCCCTATGGAAAAAACAGAAAATCTTAGGATTCTTCATTTGTATGTAGAACTAAAATGGGAACTAATAAGATTTTGAAGTTTGGTTTTAGTGAGAACAATGATAGTAACTATGGATTCTCGAAGTGGTATGACTAGAACTTGACATATCTTGACAATGAAAGATTCGTATCATGTTGGTCGAGACTCATGTCGATGGATTGTCAGCTATGATTCGATGATTTGAGCAGAGCAGATGATCATAGCTGACGTACGGTAAATTCCTAGTAGCGTGTGTGACATGTTGGACAGCTTGCGGACGTCCAAAACTTGAAATGCTGTTTGAGTATGTTTGGGTTGCCATTCCCATTTACAATGATTTACTAATGTCCCTTGCAGACATGTGTTTGTGAAGTAACTTCCATCGATATGTTGGTCAACATTTCCAACACACCAAATGCTTTTAGTAGATGTTTCGTGTGAAATCTTAGCCAACATATCCCAAGCCAATTTTGAGGTTCTTCCGAAATTAAGGGAGCTAAGTCCATGGAGGAACCGGTGTGAAAACATCAGATGACCGGTTGAAAGTCTAACACTGGGATTTCTCCAATTGTACAAGATTTGTGAATCACCAATGAATACAAATTATATACATCATATACACTCCTGGTTTGTGGTGTTAAATATTGTTTGCAAATGCCGTGAGAATTTTATAGCTCACATGTTGGGCTTGACATCCACATCATCCACAAACCAGCCAGAAGGGCTGTCCCAACGTTCCACTTAGCTTGGGACAAGGCCATTTTTGTTTACAAACTGGCTGTAACTGGCTGAGAAGTTCATAGTCTCGCTCTTGTTTTTTGTGATTTCCATCCCCAAAACTAAGATTATGATCCCCAATGACTCTGGACAACTGAGGTAATCAGCTTGTAGCCCCCATCGCTGGATTGTTTTTGTTGGGAACATCTTAACCGTTAAACCCATCTTAACCATCGATTTTCCCATGAAATATGGGGTTTTCCATTGACCGCCAAGACGTCGGACTATCCCATGATGACTTACCAAAAGGTGCGGCGACACCCCTGATGAGGGCGACTGTGTGAAACGCTGCCATAAACATCCATAAACCACTTGGGGAATGTTGGCGATGGTTTTTTCTACCCGGGTATACATGGTCTACATTACCCATCATTACCCAACATATTGAAATACCTAGGCCTGCCGGCCGGGTAAAATTTCTTCAGCCCAGGCTAAATCCTGTTTTGTCGCTGAAGTAATTTCTGCCGTCTCCAGCCAAAAAAACGTTTTATATAACTGTTCGGCGGGATTCTTGCCGGGTCAGCTGCCATTCTTGTATTTTCGCGTTTGTTTTTCATTCACACACCATCGGCCGTTTGGACGCAGGTTCAGTCTGGCACTTTTCTGGTAGAGGGATGTAGAGGGGTGACCCTGCTGGACACTTCTGAACTGTGCGTTCTGAAAAATGTGGTGAAACTCTCCGCCAAAACATCACAATTTGCTGGAACCCAAAATCCAACAACTTCCGTCTCATCAAAAAAGTTCTGTTTGATGGCTGGCCCCTCCAGAAGTTTTTTTTTAACCAAACATGAGTATCTAATTCTTCCTGCCTCGGTTGTTCTAGGTATATTGGTGATTACCATAATCCATACTGGGAAATCTGTTATTAACAATTCAATCTCACCTCATCACGTGGCACAAGCATGGTGATTGGTCGACGAACACATGCCTTACATTGCCTTCTGTTCTCTTGTTCACCGGTGGATGGTGCAGTTCTCCACCGTTGAAAGTTGAAAAACAACCCATCCTGGTGATGACCCATCCAAGTCAATGAGAAGAACACATGACGTATGGGTATTTTATGGTGAAAGCAGTTTACAGATTGATGAGAGTCCCAAGAAAAGTCACAGCTGAATCTATTTTCTTCTGCATTTCTTGATATTTATGGGCCATTTTAGCGTTTCACCGAGGTATCCCCAAATGGTATCCCTACCTGGTATGGTGCCATCGGGTCACACCGTTACCTCCATTTTTCGCGGAGGTGGTGAAAGGAATCAAGAACATCAGCTTTCCAGCAGCTGATCTGGACTTGGCGGCGAGTTGAATTGGGAGGCCTTGAAGGCCAATGTGGTCCTTTTTTTTACTGGTAGAATTTATGATCATTCATTTTCTCCTTATGTGTTATTATGTGTTATCATAAATATATATATATATACATGATGATGATACATGTATATATATATATACATATATATATATACATATATATATATATCATATATTCACATATGATATATATATATATATACATATATACATACATACATACATACATACATACATACATACATACATACATACATACATACATACATACATACGTACATACATACATACATACATACATATGCTTTATATATATACATATGCTATATATATATATATACATAATTTTAAATATATATATATATATATACATATATTATGATTGTTTTATGGTTATTATGTTGATTTATGTTGTTATCCCCCTGCATATCGGGGATGATCCCCACATCTTCGCGTTTTTCCCGAGAGCGTCTGAGCGCAGGGTTCTTCCAATAGTGGGGGTCTGTATCTCATCTTCACATCTTCTCATCTTCACACCTTTTCATCTTCACACCTGCTCACTTCACATCTTCTCATCTTCACATCTTCCCACTTCACATCTTCTCATCTTCAAATCTTCTCATCTTCACATCTTCTCATCTTATCTTCTCATCTTAACATCTTCTCATCTTAACATCTTCTCATCTTCACACCTTTTCATCTTCACCTTCTCATTTTCACATCTTCTCATCTTCACATCTTCACATCTTCACATCTGCTCATCTTCACAGTCACATCTTCTCATCCTCACATCTTCACATCTTCTCCTCTTGCCCTCTTGGCCTCTTGCCCTCTTGCCCTCTTCTTCACATCTTCTCATCCTGACATCTTCACATCTTCTCCTCTTGCCCTCTTGCCCTCTCCTTCTTTTCTATTTCTCTTCTGAAGGCAGGGGCAGGGGCAGTGCCAACGAGATGGCACGAAACGCAACCCTTTCGCACGAAACGAGGTTCGATCGCCAAAAACTGAGGTAAAATTGCGATTTCAAAGTGTCCGCCGCAACCCTTTCGCACGAAACGAGGTTCGATCATCGTCAAAAACTGATGTAAAATTGCGATTTCAACTTGTCCCGCGCAACCCTTTCGCACGAAACGAGGTTCGATCATCAAAAACTGATGTAAAATTGCGATTTCAACTTGTCCCGCGCAACCCTTTCGCACGAAATGAGGTTCGATCGCCAAAAACTGCGGTAAAATTACGATTTCAACTTGTCCGGCGCAACGCTTTCGCACGAAACGAGGTTCGATCGCCAAAAACTGAGGTAAAATTGCGATTTCGACTTGTCCGGCGCAACCCTTTCGCACGAAACGAGGTTCGATCGTCAAAAACTGTGGTAAAATTGTGATTTCCGGGTTCCCGTTGCAACTCTTTCGCACGAAATGAGGGTCGATCGCCAAAAACTGAGGTAAAATTGCGATTTTTTTTGTGTGTACAAAGCTTCTGTGTGCTGTGTGTCAAAGCTTCTGTGTGTAAAAGCATCTGTGTAATAGCGTCTGTGTAAAAGCGTCTGCTTAAAAGCTTCTGTGTGCTCTGTGTAAAAGCGTCTGTGTGTAAAAGCGTCTGTGTGTAAAAATGTCTGTGTGTAAAAGTGTCTGTGTGTAAAAGCTTCTGTGTGTAAAAGCGTCTGCGTGTAAACGCGTCTGTGTGTAAAAGCGTCTGTGTGTAAAAGCGTCTGTGTGTAAAAGTGTTAGTGTGTAAAACTGTCTGTATGTAAAAGCGCCTGTGTGTAAAAGTGTCTGTGTGTAAAAGTGCCTTGTGTGTAAAAGCGTCTGTGTGTAAAAGCGCCATGTGTGTAAAAGCGTCTGTGTGTAAACGCGTCTGTGTGTAAAAGCGTCTGTGTGTAAAAGCGTCTGTGTGTAAAAGTGTTAGTGTGTAAGAGCGTCTGTGTGTAAAAGCTTTTGTGTGCAAAAGTGCCTGGTGTAAAAGTGTTTGTGTGTAAAAGTGTTTGTGTGTAAAAGTGTCTCTGTGTAAAAGCGTCTATGTGTAAAAGCTTCTGTGTGTAAAAGTGTTAGTGTGTAAAAGCGTCTGTGTGTAAAAACTTTTGTGCAAAAGTGTCTGTGTGTAAAAGTGTTTGTGTGTAAAAGCTTCTGTGTGTAAAAGCGCCTGTGTGTAAAAGTGTCTGTGTGTAAAAACGTCTGTGTAAAGGCGTCTGTGTGTAAAAGCTTCTGTCTGTAAAAGCTTCTGTGGGTAAAAGCTTTGTGTGTAAAAGCGCCTGTGTAAAAGCAACAGTGTGTAAAAGAGTCTGTATGTAAAACTGTCTGTATGTAAAAGCGCCTGTGTGTAAAAGTGTCTGTGTGTAAAAGTGCCTTGTGTGTAAAAGCGTCTGTGTGTAAAAGTGTCTGTGTGTAAAAGCTTCTGTGTGTAAAAGCTTCTCTGTGTAAGGGGTTCTCTGTGTAAAACTGTAAAACCTTGCTCTGATCTGTGTAAAAGCTTCTGTGTGTAAAAGTGTTTGCAATGCAAGCTATTCTCTTGTACTTGTGCTATATTGTCTTGATACTCCTCTTCTCGACTGCCTATAACACATCTTTAATATATTGTTTTGTAATATGGTGTCTCCATACTAACAAGAGAAGACCCTGCTCCTCTACGCTCTCGGGCCATCTGTCGTCTAGTTGTTTTTTTTTAATTGAGGCTCAACCAGCCAGGTGAACGTGGACTTAGCTGATTTCATGGTGATTTAGTAGGGATTTGAGGAAATTTCCATGGGAATCTGTATGGTTTTCTTGGGGAATTTAATGGAACAGTGCTGTTTTTTCTGGTTTTCTATAGCACTGTTCAATAGTTGCCTAGGGTAAACGTTTACATAGAAAAAGCCGTGGGAAAACCCAGGAAAATAGTCGACAGTCTACAAATGGTTGATTTTCCACATCTATGTTAGTTTACCCTAGGGTAATCCTACGATGTGAAATCTTGCGGGAAAACATATGGATTATTCTGGATTTGCTTCCTTCAGTTGACATGCCACAACCTATTTGGGGTTAGAGAAAGAACATAATGAAGCAGTTGATACTGTTACTACCGCATAAACAGTTTATGTCAGATTAATTGGTAAAGAATGGAATCATCTAAAGATCCACTGTGTTGAATCACAAACTAACATCTCTTCACTTGCCATGACCCACGTAAACTGTCCATGAAGATCCATTGACTTTTCATTCACGTCAATTAGCTTCCCTAACATCCACAAAATTATCATTCAGATCCACTAGCTACTCATTGGCATTCATTTAGTTGCCAGCAATTTCCCATTTATGTTTATTAGATTTTTATTCTTATTCATTTTCGGTTGGTGAAACTCCTTCATTCGTTGCTGGACAAACCTCACTGTTGTTTGGCATTTTGTTTCTCCTGGTTGAACCCGGTTTCTTTGTCTTTTTCATGGTTAGGTCTCCATGTTTGTTGGTGCGGTTCTAACATAGCCTAACTCTTGATGATGACATCTCGATTGTTTCATCTTTGTTCATGCTGAAATCCCTTCTCTTTTCGGTGAAAGTTCCACAAACTTGCTGGACAACTGCCGCATTGTTTTCTGGCTGCGGCTGCGGCATTCCCTGAGGGCACAATTCCCAGCGATGCCAAAAACCTCATTTGTGACCAAGCTGAACTGATTGGGTGGGCGAAAAATGGTGGAGATACTGTGGATGGTTGCGAAATCCTGCAGCAGGTGAGGGATGTGGTAAACATCCCATTATTTGTAGGGTTGAACAACTATCCGATAGGTGGTGCATGATTTTGCAAGCATCCACAGTAGGTAAATTACATTAAATTACTGTACTTCGAGTGATCCCCACCAATCTCTTTCTATTTATCTGTTTGACATTTTATTTGGCATTCGATCTGACATATAAATCAGAATGTAACTCTATATGTAGCTCGAATCCTGGGAGGAATTTGTTTACCTGGAAAATTAATCCAACCTCGTATTATTAATTATAATATCCAATGAAACATTATAATATCCAATGGACAATTTATATCAACTCTAATATATACTACATCAAATTTATATTAAATGAGGAGACTTGCAGCTGCTGTGTATATATTTGAAGTCAGAGGTTGGAAGCCGGACAGCCATGCTTAGCTGCTACGGTTCCTAGCAGCAAAAGTTGGAACTCCGAAAACTACAAAGTCTAGTGTGGGATTCACCCAATAATAATCTGGTTGGTGGTTTGGAACATGACTTTTTTGACTTTCCATAAATTGTGAATGCCATCATCCCAACTGACCAGTCCTCATATTTTTCAGAGGGGTAGGTTGAAACCACCAATTACCACCAACCAGAATAATAAACCATCCCCATATGAACCCAAATGCTAGGTTTATGGCAGTTTATGGCGGTTGCCCACAATAGTAAAGACTCCAACATGATTCGCCAAGGTTGCTGAATTATTTTACCATATTCTACCACTACCATTGGCATTTTCCATATTTTTCCAGCCTTTCCGCGTCGGCGGTATTGACCTGGACCGGCGTTGAAGCAGCTTGAAGATGTGTTTAGAAAACGGCAACAACAAATGGAAAGCATTGAATCATTACGCATATGCTTCATGTATGGTGTATTCGCTACATAACTCGGTCATTTTATATTGGGTGAATGTTGGTAAGTTTTCCATACACAGAGTATATGGGTTTCAAATGATTCTAAGATGTTGTAATATGGGTCTAATGGGGAGATTATTGCTAAAATGGCTTAGGGCTTGTTAGGCCCTAACATCAAAATCAACATGTTTGTTTCCGAGCATTCCTGAAAAATTAGCAGTCAGGGCCTGTTAGGGTTGACATGTCTTTCGTCTTTCCTCATCAACACTTGCCGCTTGCCGCTTTCTTCCCAGGTTCCTTGTGTGAAAATGAGCCCAACAAACGTTTACCGGAGGCCAAAGGTTTCGAGGCGCGAGTTGGGCGATGGTTGCTGTAGATAATATGGATTTCTTATCAAATATATCGTTATTTTTGATGTGTTTTTGATATGTTTTGGACTGATTGTCATGTTAGATTATCATAGGGTTTCTCAGAGGAAGTTTAGTTCGAAAACTTGCCAGTTGCGGATTTTTATGTCCTGGGGCAGTTGCCAGTCATCATGTCATCATGTCAACAACATAGTGAGCAGTTGAGCAATTGGAAGCAGTAGAGAAGAGTAACAGCTCGTGAATGCGTGAATTGGTTAATCCCATTAAATCCCATTAAATTGTTCTGGTGCTCACGTTTTGTTTTGTTCCGAAGGGATGGACATTCTTGATAAATAGGTTTTTGAAAAGGCAACGACTTGAGCTGCGCAGGGATAGGTTTTTTGCCAGTCATTGTCATTGTTCCAGGGATAGATTGTTGTTGTTGTTGTTGATGATGATGATGATGATGCTGTTAGTTGCCAGTCGTATGATGGAGACATGTGATCAACTTCTGATTATCCCATGGGGTCTATATCCGAGCAAAGCCGGGGGTATATACACCAAATGGGAAGTCAACAAAACCCATCCAAAAGCGGCCTGGGATTCATCCAGACCCATTGCTGGAGAATTACTCCATTTTTGTGCAAGATGGGTCTGGGTATATCATACACTTACTCTGCGCATATCAAAGAATATCAAAGACCTTTCAGCATTACTTGGTTTTCCTATGGTTTTCCTATGTTTTGATAAGCATCATGCTCTGAGCTCCATGCCAGGGGAGATATGATGTGACAGATCTCTTGAAAATCATCCGCTTTGGCTGCCTCGGTGGCTCCAATACGGTGTGTCGCCGAGGCGTTGCAAAAGCACGCCTTTTTCAAGGATTTCAACTGGGAAGGCATCGCTAGAGAAGCGCGGGATGGGCGAATTGATAAAGCAGCTTTCTACTGGAACCGAACAGCAACGAATCTGGAATTTTAACAACATATAAAAAGGGTCTGCGTATCACAGTGCCAAATTATTTGGGCTTTCGTGTGAACGTTGTTGTTGTGCTTGCGCAGATCGGTGATTTTATCAAGATGAGTTGACTGAAATCTGTTGATTTTGGTCCGCGAGTCCTTGATTTTGGTTGGATAACCCGGTTTATATACAGGAAAAACACATATACATATGATCATATGGTCATCCTGAAGTAGATAGAATAGGGACATGTTTTTTACAAAAAACCTCAGTAAAATGAGAATATGTTTGAAAATCACATATTCTATCTACTTCAGGCAGAGTATAGACATATTATATATACATGTATTGGTAATAGTTTTATATTTGTATTTGTACACAATATTTGCACTGCAAATCAATAAGGGTGAGCCCCCGTGCTTCTTTCTTCTGAAGGAGTGACATATTTTTTGATGTGTTCATGTATGCCTATTTTTGTTGATTAATTAATGCCATAATACGTGTGTAGCTTCATTCTATGCTAAATATCGCACTATTGCCTCGTTTACTCATGTTTAATACCTGATAACACGATTCAATCTATCTATATTCAACTCTATTTATATTGTGCAGTCGTATTCCCAACTGAGTGGTTTGGCATGAAACAAGTTTGGTTGGTGCTTTCAAGAACAGATCCACCATTCACCTCCATAAACCACATCGGTTTCACCTAGCCACAGTCAAACCAGCTCAGCCATGTGTTTATTGCTTAGGATCTTGGGAAGCCTCGTCAATTTCCATATCTGGTTGGTGGTTTGGAACATTTAGATTATTTTCCATATATTGGGAATGTCATCATCCCAACTGACGAAGTCATATTTTTCAGGGGGGTTGAAACCACCACCAGATAATTATTAACCATCATCAACCATATAATAACCATCATCATTAACCATTATTAACAGTATATTAACCACATATTAACCATCAAATGGTGGGATACTTATCGCTGATCTTCTTGGGGTTTCCCACGTCTTCCAGCAACCCGAAACCTTCGAAACATGGACCGGGAATCCACCAGGTTTATCATCGATGACACCGCCTTTTCTGCCCAGTTCCAACGAAAAGAACTACGGCGCTACGGAGACTGCACGTGTTACACGTGGTCAACGCCGTAACGGGAAGATATGGCGGCAGAATAGGCTTAGGGGATAAATCAAACAAGGGCAATCTGATGTTAGGTCAATGTTAGGCCCAAATTCCTGCAGAATGTTCAAGCCTTGCCAGGTTTATCCTGATGAACATGCTTGTGTAAGTCCCCAAGAGACCAGAATATTTATTGGTAAAATGCATGTAACTGTCGAACATCTTGTTGGCGAACTGCCGGCGAAGTTTGCGGCAAAGTTGCTGAGTAAAGTACGTAGTGTGAGTATGCGGCAAAGTTTGCAGCGAAGAATTTTCGTCAAACTTTTAGATGCTTTGATTTTCCTCTTAAAAAAAAAACACAACCAAAATTCCACGAGCCAAACTTCACCATGCACAGCCTCAGATCCAACAGCCACCAGGCGGCCAAATTTTCTCCACCAATTTGGGTTTCCAATTTGTGGGGCCATTTGGGGAACCCTTGGTCTAATATATGGGAACATGATGGAACATGATGAAACATGGAGAGATGTTTCTTGGGATATACCACGAAATTCATGGGGATATACCTGATACTTATTGGATATGAGTGGGATACTGCATACTGTAACAATAAACATCATGAGATGTCATGAATCATTGCCGATATTGCTCCATTTGTACCTTCAGCTACACTGGGCCACGTTGGGGCATGTTTTATGCTGGATATGGATGGAGATGTTTGTTGGATAGCAGTTCTCAGACAAATTTGTTGTGGGGCAGTGGGGCACATATTGGTTCCATCTGTATGTTAGCCCCTCCGGTGTCATCAAACATGGCTGGCTGGAAAATCAACAATTACGTCCATGTTTTTCACACTCAAGCCTCCATTTATAGGGGATTTCAGCTACCCTTGTGGCTACCATGAGGGTATATCCCATTATATCCCCATTTAATTCCTCTGAAATTCCCACTATCCCACTATATGATGGGATAATCACCTATAAAGTCACCACTGTTGTTGGTAAAATCCCATTAAATCACCATTAGATACCATTAATTCACATGAATTGCACCATTAGATCACCACTAAATATGATTAAATCCTTTTAAGTCACCATTAAATCACAATTAAATACCATTACTAGCCAATAATAACCCTTGTGGCTGATTGGCTTTGTTTACGGCTGCCCCATTTGAACCCCCCACCAACTCTTTGGTCAAAGTTACAGCGTCGCGGTCATTGAGTTTGATGATTTACCTTTAAAAACTTGTGATTTCCGATAACTAGGCTGAATTGCCAGTAATTTCGATTAATTTCCTAAGTCCATCTAAATCATGAATTGTTGGCTATATCTCCGTTCTATCTTCAGAAAACTCTGTTTTGCTGAGAGTCACATCATTTCTAGTTCCCATTTCCCGTGGCAAATCAGTCGATCAAACTAGAAGAGCGGCACACGCTACTGACGGGCTACCGGTGTGAAGTCCAGTGCTTTTTTACTAAGAGATAATGATACTGTTAATAACAACTGCAAGAAGCAATAACAATCAACAACCACGAATAATTACTAACAAACCCTATATTTGTATCATGACATTGATATTTTTTAATAAGAGAAACACTACTGAATAAACATAGTACTATTGGCTTTGCTTTCTCTATTATCACTAATTCGTGTATTTATCGTTCATAGATTAATTATCAAGTAATATTTCTGTTGGCACATGGGCCCGCAGGAAGAAGATTTGCACCCGTGCTTCCAATCACCTGGGGACCCCAAGGACATCAAAAACGGTGGCCAATCTGCACTGGTCAAGCAGCAGATTTCAGGATTACGCTATGTTTATTTAACAGATAGGTGCATCATCCACAAATGGGTCAACCAGTAGCTATGCTTTAGGGTTTAATCAAAATCTTTGAAGAAACAGTGTCTATATATTTCACATCCGCTCTAAAATGCTTATAAGGATTTATAAGGGATTTCAGTTCCGAAGAATATAGATAATTTGCCATTGATGTATTTTACATTACATTAGAAGGCAGAGTCCTGTATGTATATAACGTATATATATATATATGTAAATACATGCGTGTGATGATGTATTCTATGTGTATATAAGTTTGTTTATGTGTTCGTATATATATATATATATACATATGTGCATTCACAATATGTATATATATATATATGTATATATACACATTGTATTGTATTACTTTATGTTATACTGGATTATGCTATGTCAAACCATATTTCATTAATTATATAATTGTTGTACATTACGTAGGTATGATTAAAAATCAGATAGTATGTGTATATATATATATATGTGAATATATATATATATATGAATACATATATATATATTTGAATATATATAGAATATATGAATATATATATATATATTCATATATGTATATATGAAATTATATATACATGTACCGTGCATATATATATATATATCCACATCCCGTATGTATGTATATGTTTGTCGCCTTCCAACAAGGTATATATTGTATGTGTATATATATATGTATTCACATGTGATGTGTCTGTGTATATATACATTGACGTACCACATATGTAGGTTTTTCTGTGTGTGTACATGGCATATATAGACCATTTATGATCATCCCGGATCCAACTCCCGGATCTTCACCAAAAATATCATGACATGAATCCAACTGAAGGGTTTGGATCTTGTCATTTGTTTGCATTTGTTGTTCTCCCTGATTTTTCGGGCAATATGATCCTTTCTCAAGTATAGAAGTATGAATTAAATGTTTTTTTTTTGGAAAAGAATGAACAATATAACATAATGTAACCTTGAACCGGACAACTTGAAAGTCCTAAACAAAGATAGACCAAACACGCTTGAAAACAAATCACGACAAGAAATTCAGTATAGGCATAGCATGTTCACAAGCAGAATTTGGCTGTCTTCGAAAAAGGACCATCCCTCAGTCCCCACGGTACCACGGGGAGTACCCCAATTGTCCTTAAGGATGGTGCCTGCCATGGCAGTTTTGCATACCAGCTGGTTGATTAAATGGGGATTACAATCATCCAAGAACTGGGAATCCCGTTACCAACCAGTACTGGTTGGTGGTTTGGAACAGGATTTTTTATTTTCCCCAATAGTTGGGATGATGATTCGCCACCGGCCACGTGAGGGTTGTTAGATTTTATCACAGTTGTTCTCCTCCTCCGTCTCCTCCACCTCCTCCTCCTCATCCTCCACCTCCTTCTCCTCCTCCTCCGCCTCCCTCTCCTCCAGCTTCTCCTCCACCACCTTTGCATCCACTCCCATGTTCACTTCCGCCTTGCCAACTCTTCCCCAAGCTCTTCGCCAACTTCCGCACACAGTGGGCACTGCTGGACCTCAACCTGGGACCTGCCGAGTTCAGTGAGCACCGCTGGACCTCAACCTGGGACCTTCCGAGCTCAGTGAGCACCGCTGGACCTCAACCTGGGATTCGAGCTCAGTGAGCACCGCTGGACCTCAACCTGGGACCTGCCGAGTCACCGCTGGACCTCAACCTGGGACCTTCCGAGCTCAGTGAGCACCGCTCGACATCAACCTGGGACCCGCCGAGCTCAGTGAGCACCACTGGACCTCAACCTGGGACCTTCCGATCTCAGTGAGCACCGCTGGACCTCAACGGCCAGATAGAATGCCAGAAGATATGCCAGATAGAATGCCAGAAGATATGCCAGATAGAATGCCAGAAGGTATGCCAGATAAAGTGCCAGAATGTTTGCCAGATAGAATGCCAAAAGATTTGCCAGACAGAATGCCAGATAGGATGTCAGAAGATATGCCAGAAGATATGGCAGATAGAATGCTAGATAGAATGTCAGATAGAATGCCAGAAGATATGCCAGATAAAATGCCAGATAGAATGCCAGAAGATATGCCAGATAGAATGCTAGATAGAATGTCAGATAGAATGCCAGAAGATATGCCAGATAAAATGCCAGATAGAATGCCAGAAGATATGCCAGATAGAATGCCAGATAAAGTGCCAGAAGGTATGCCAGATAAAGTGCCAGAATGTTTGCCAGATAGAATGCCAGAAGATTTGCGAGATAGAATGCCAGATAGGATGTCAGAAGATATGCCAGATAGAATGCCAAACAGAATGCCAGAAGATATGCCAGATAGAATGCCAGAAGATATGCCAGATAGAATGTCAGAAGATTTGCCAGGAACAAAACCTATAAATGTCATGGTGGTGATCACACGAAGTACAGTAACCCAATCTAATTTTCATATTTTTCAGGGGGTTGGAACATGTTGAAACCACCAACCAGAGTCTATTTGAATGATAGAGGGATTTATTTCACACTGCTCTGCTGGTTTACTGGCATCATGGAAAAATCCAAGATGGAAGCCCTTGTGAACCACACGGTCCCTTGTCCAAAATGTCAGGTGAATTTTGGTCTGCACACTTCGGACCTGTTGGCGCAGCTCGGTTGATTGGTTGATGTTTGGGGGCAAATGGACTTTTGAAAGTCACACTTAAGTGCTGTAAAGTTCAGTAAACTATTGCAACTTTGATTAAACAAATATCCTTTTGATGCCGCGATTTTGAGTAGTCAAATTCATCGTTTTGTTTTGACATGTTTTGACGGATATGCGGTGTTGCTTAATTTGGTGATGTTGTTGGGCCTCCCAAAATTAATATGTAGTGTATGAATAAGAGTTGATGATGTGAGAATGGGGGTTGCCACCTCAAAACCATTTGCAATGTGTGGAATTTTGTAGGGTACAAGCATGTAAAACTGGATTTGTTGCTAGGGCCCCAGTAAGTTCCCCATTTGGATATTTAGCCAATCATTAGGCAGATACTGTAGTAATTAATGACAGCAAATAGCATTTGAAATAACATCTGATATGTTTAAATAGCAGTAGATAACATCTTAAATTGAACATATTTTTTGTCTAAATCCGTTTGTTGCCATGTTTGTCACCCATAGTTCATGGTACAACTATAGTGTACCCCAATGAAAATAGCCAACACAACTATAAACAATATCTACCCTCTGGTAAACTAACATCAATGTATACATAAGTATGGAACATCACCTAATGTTTACCAGGTAAATCAACCATTCTATGGTCATTTTTCAATATTTTTTTGTATGTTTACCAGGCCAGGTATCTATCACTCATGTCTCGGGATGCCAGGAGCGGGATGACCATCCCCTTCCTTTCGCCTGATGTCTAGCGAAAGCCATGGCTCGCCATTGCGAGCCCCGGACGTGGAGAAAGGGATGGAGAGTCGTATCGTGTAACTTAAGTGAAGCATCATTTAGCATATATATATATATCTATCTACCCTGTACCTCCATATATATATATATATATAGATAGTCATCCTGGAGTAGATAGAATATCGGAATTTTTCAAAAAGGATTTTCAAAAAAAAAATAAATAGTTGGAATATGTTTAAAACCCTCAGTTTTTACATGTTTCGTCTTTGTTAAGTCATTTTTAGCCAGTTTTGGACACGTGTCTGGAGAAATTTTGAAAAATACAAAAATCAAACAACACCAAAAAGTAGATAGAATATTGTTTCAAACCAGGTAGATAGAATATTTTGAGGGAATTGTGAACACCACGCGCAGGCCCCACAGCAGCTTGAGACCCTCCAAACCATATTCCAACTACCAGTTTTCGACCTCCCCGGGGAGGTCGAAATATTCCAACTACCTACTTTTTTTTCAGTGGCCGACATCCAACATAATTCCATCATAAATCCCGCGCCCTCCAAAAAATATTCTATCTACTTTAGGATCACTATATATATATATATACATAAGTGTTAAGTTATGATGTTATCGTATGACATTATTGTGATGTATTGCATAAGTTGCATTATTGTGACTTAAGTTAAGTATTACATGTATAATATCATATGACATACGTGTCAAACACAAAAATACACATGTTCTCAGATTTTCTTCGTTGTGAGGTATATACTTGTGGTTGATGTTACTACGTTTTTTTTTCGAAAAATAGTCACGCTTGCGAAGAATCTGGTGATTTTGTGCAAAAAATCTGCAGCACCAAGCAGATCGGAGTGCAATCTCAGGGTTCATGTTTCATATTGGCTTTCGGTTGACCCATAAAGATTGCTGATTTATATACCCTCTGGTAAACAAACAAAACACTATTGAAAATTGCCGTTTATAGTTGATTTACCCATTAACAATTGTGATTTTCCATAGTTGTGTTAGTTTACCAGAGGATAAACCATGGGATAAAGACCAACTCTTGATCAGTTAATTGAGAAGTCTATGAGAAGTCTGGGTATCTTCTGATAATTTAACATAGCTATGGACAATCAATGGTTAATAGGCATAAGTTTTCCATAAGTGGCCATGATAATCTATTTTTCAGAGCGATTATTGTAGCTAATTATATACACATGGGCCATTGTCCATTCATCTAAATGTTCATTCCATGTTCATCCATTTTCAATATCGGTTAGCTCAGCCACCTACACACCTTGCGCGGTTTTTGGTTTCCATCGCTGGAAACCGACGCTTTTTGCGCATGGCGCGGAGAGTGGCTCGCCGCGACGTCGGGAAAAAGGCGCCGTTCGCGGGACGATACGACGTGGTAGGCATGTAATCTGGGTAAGTTAGAACTTATAACGACCTCACTGTTCTCCCGAACCCTGGAATCATAGCTAGTAAGGGGAATCATCCCAAAATATTCATTTTCTTTTGCTTTATTCTGTTCTGTTCGTATCCTAAATGAAACCCTAGAGAGACCCTAGGTGAAACCCAAAGAAATCCTGATAAGAAACCCTACATGAAGCCCTAAATGAAGCCCTAAATGAACCCTAAAGAAACCATAAATGAACCCTAAAGAAACCATAGATTAATCCTAAAGAAACCATAAATGAAACCCTAAAGAAACTTTAAATGACACCCTTAATGACATCCCAAAGAAACCCTAAGCAACACTCTGAAAACAAACTAAATGAAACCTTAACTGACACCTTAGCTGAAACCCTAAATTGACACCCTAAAGAAACCCTAAATGAAACCCCAAATTGAAACCCTAAATGAATGATACCCCAAATGAAGATGCCAAAATGTGACCCTTATTACAATAGCCTTATTTATCCAGATAATAATTATACCAAATAATAATCCAGTGAATTATTCTAATTTACCCAGATCTAATGCAGTAAATCAATGGATCATCATGGATGATGCCCTCTTCTTCAATCGTTGGTTTCTTACTCCAGGACATGAATTTGTACTTAGCGACTATTTATCATTTGACAGGGGTTGAAAGTGGCGGAAAATAACATGTATAGACAAACAGTAGACAAACATAAACCGTCTAACGACCATCCCTAGAACAACTATTAATTTCCGTAGAACCCAGGTAGCCAAAAACGCTGGAAAATTGGGTTTACAACCTGCAGACTAGATTTCGAAACAATAGCAATCAACAGCCTTTATCAAATTAATAGTCTTTGGCACCACGTACGTTAATTTGACGTGCATTTGGAAGATTAGGGCATGGAATGGCATGGATTATCATGGATAATCATGCTAACTTCTCATCAAGAAACTGTATATACGTAATGATAATTGCAAGTATCACGAGTAACTTCACAACTTAGTGTTAGAAACCTCCCGCAGACTTGGGTCTCTTGTTGATCTTGTTGTGCTTGTAAAGATAATGTTTGTTTTGTTCTTCTTTCATATATTGATTCA